ATCTTGTTTTAATAAATTTTATAGGGAAATTTGACAAATATCTTAGTCATTTTGTAGCTCTAATTCCACGTACTTTTAAATAATCGTAACAGTTTGAAAGTAATAAAATAATTGATGACCGCTGTAGCCGATACTTACCCAGACCCGAATCAATATTAAATATAGAACTTATAGAACATATACAACTTCCTTTAGTTATTACTTAGGTAGGTATTATTTTTCAATTTTAAAAAGTAGTTTTCATTAAAAAACAATACATGTAATACAAATTCAACAGACAAATTCTTTATTTTAAATCACGATATATTGGAATAACAACAATAATGCGTAATGAATCGTTTTAATCGCATCTATGTATAATAGCGATTACATGCTTTTCGTTCAGCGCATCACGTGAGATCGTTGCTTCATTGATTTAACAGTTTATAAATGTTTTGCATGGTTCAATGATTTTTTGGTTAAGAAAATTGGCGACGTTTCGTGTTTTGTGTAAGATTCGTTTGGGATCTGTATATTTTGTTAATCTATTCATAGTGTTATCGATAATATTATTCTTTTTGTAGATAAATTATACTTTTTTATATCTTTCGGTAAAAAATAATCCCATTTAAAATCATAACATGTACAAAAATGCACAACTCTCCTTAAAAATTATGAAATTTCTAGCGTAAAAAGTTATGAAATAAACGTAAACCGAGTCGATTACTTCAGTGCCTGTTTTCTGTGAGAGAAGCTGTCCAACCTTGTGGTACTTAACAAACGCACACAGACATTAATCACCTAAGTACTATTAAACCAATAAAGCACAGAGCCAATAACTTTAGATAGAATTTTTTATGTAACATTATTTTACCATACTTTTATGCGTTTGCCAAACTTCATGGAAAAGCTAGTCGCTACTGGAAATGGTAATGTTTGTAATAAAATGATATTGAATATCTGAAAAGGCGAATGGTGAAATCGTGAAACTTTTCTTGGAGTCCTGCTGTATAAAAATATTATAACAATACATATATACTTATGATTTATATTTGACCGTTTGACGAAGTCTGTTGGCTCAGCTATGATAATTTGTTTAAAAAATAATCATTGAATTTCAAACAATGCCTTGAATATCGGATAAAACTACATAAACAATTAAACATCCACGATTCTGATGTGTTCATTATACTTATAAACAATATTCATGTAATTTGAACCAACAGTCAGGGTTTGCAACATATTAGTGTAGATTTGAGACTAAATACAAAAATATTTTAATAATAGCAAAAAACTTCATACGTTGTATTTATAAATACCTAAATGATTGGATTTATCTACTACGGGCTTAAAAGTATTTTTAAATTAGCGTAAGATTTTTAGGGAGCGTATTTGTTTCACACCTAATGAAAGTGTGCTTAAGGTCAACTAGTCCACCACCTTGGGTGGACCGTCATATTGGGTTTCAAATGAAGTCTTTTTAATATTTTTTTTAAAACGTCAACACTGTCAATTGCATTACAAATAATAAGGCCGCCATTTTGGGCCGTCCATCATGTTAAATTTAAAATGTTATAGCTTAATCGGTTGAGAATGATAATGTGCTGCAAGATTAGACGTAAAAATGTCTTTGTTAGAACTGCGAGTGAAGATAGCTATATAATCCAAAGAATCAATAACAAATACGTACCTACTTACAATTACTTTTAAGTAATGTAGTGAATATCGACAAATGACATAGGAGTTAATGATTAATATTTATTTTTGTTTTTTATTAAATGTTTATAAGTTTAATAATGTAGATAGTAACTGAATCTAGATATCCATGGTATAAGATATACCTATACAACGCTGCGTCGAACCACCGTTTATTCTGTCCTAGGTATCCACATGTAAACTTTTTGGCCTTGATCTTCAACATAATTTATTTTTATTAATCAGTTTTCGTAATTTAAAATTTTAAGTATTCTAATGTGCTCTTTAAGGATGTCAGTTTGTGAAAATTCATCGAGTTAGAAACATTATACATATTTAAATTTCAATCAACAGCTGTTTGTTGTAAAAATTGTTAAAATCTATTTATTATTACCTGTTTCGGTTATGCTCACGAGTTTGAACTCAAGAAAAATGTAATAAAGTTAAATGATTTACCAAACCCGAAGAAAAGGGATGTTTTGTAACAATTAATTAAATCAAGTTCTCAAGCTTAGTCAGCCTTTTATTCATTTGCTCAAGCATCGAACCCGTCACACCTACATAACCAAAAGACATCGTTCGTTAGACTGTGGCAAATTGCATGTCAAAAACAGTTTTTTATTAATTACCTACCTAGTCGTACAGTATTTCAGTTATTGTAGAGGTGCTGCATGACCTACATATTTATAAAAAAAAATTTAAATGGTGTATAACTTCAACAACGAATGCAATAATAGTGTAGGTAATATAGGGTCAAATACGTGAGCTTTTGTAACGTGAAAATTTTATGAATTAAATATATAAGGTTAGATTTTTAACAAATAAGATATTGTTTTCTTATTTTTATTAATAATTTAGGTTGGACTTTTACTATCCGAAAACCAGTTAAAAGTTAGCTTTAAATCGTTTCCATGTTATTTTTCACAGCGCGCCGATGGCTATTACGATGTCATTATTCATTTTTTGCGGTCAAAACACAAAGGCCTGAGAATCTTATGAGTTTTTTCTTACTATTTTAAACGTGACTCTAGAATAATCGATATAAACATGACAAAAAAATAATTAAGATATTATTTACGATTTTGCCAGATTTCCCTTTAATATAGGTAAAAAAAATTAAAACAATTTCCTGTAAAAAAATTTCCTTTGTACTTAAAAACTTTATAAATTTATTCAGTTAATATAAAAATTAACATCAGAATTAGATCTTTTAATATTTTTTGTTGTTTATAAATTAGCAATTAAAATTATGTGTATTCTATTTTTCATTTGGAAGGTAAAATAGTTCTGGCAGCTATTATAAAATAAAACTTACTCTTGTCTCTTATTTTTATTCAAATTTTATTAAACAGTAATTAATTGTAAATAAATGTGAAATTTTTAATAACATTTATTACAATATTTTTTATTTTAGGTTTTTTGACAGTAGGCAAAGTAGTCGTTCTTCAATATTGAATATGATTTATAGCAAAATATAATTTTCCTCTTTCCGTTAACTAAGACCGTGTTCGTAGTCTAGCTAGGCCAGCTAAAAAACTTGTTTTAGACACAAAGCTATTATAATCTCATACACAGAAATATAGTTATGATGTATACTTAAATTACGGACCCGTATTTCACTGGAATAGGGCTCAGATTTGAAGAGCATAAGTTTACATTACCTGTAATGCATACCAGGCTGACTATAGTGATGGGAATGTCTTGTAGCAAAAATTAAATCGCGGTTAATTTACAATTACGAATTAATAGTAACTCTTTATTAATTCATAAAAAAAGGTAAGAAATTTTAGTAATGCATTCTACACACCAAAACTTTCTGTGTGAATTATTATCCTTTTATGAAAATCTTTTTTGTAGTTTTTTCATTGCGTCGAGACTGATTAACTCTATTTACTTATCACTTATTTATTACTCTATTATCTAAGTAAAAGTACAAAAATATTTTTGTATATTCCTGGAATTGTGTGATTGTAAATGGAACTCCTAACAAAGTATATCCAAAGATAAATTTTGCATTGTATGTTGATAATATAAAAAAAAACCCAATTCATAAGTCGCCAGTTTAGAACTGCTAATAAAACAATGTTTAAAATAATTGGTATAGCTTTCGGTAACCAAGTAGCAATAGTTACTTACATTGTTATAAACATAATTATGTATGAAAAGAGTGGATGATGCGAGAGACCATACATTGTGGCATTCGGTCCTCGCTGCCTACCCCGTCATAAGTGAAGATATAGATAGATAGACAAATATTCTTAATGATAAATGCTTAAAAAATCGACTTTGTCCCTGGCACTCTGAGATGGCATTTTCAGTATAGCATTGTAATGAAAAATTGATTAAATATAATAGATAGATAATTATATATGTTGCGTTACTCTGATCCAAAATAATTTCTTTATAATATATAATAACATTATTTTTAATCATTTGAGATACATGTGATTACAAGAATTCTAAAGAAAAGGAAATGAAAACAGGTTACAACGAGACGTATGACGTTTGAGTGCACCAACAGCATCTGTTATCCTGTCATAATCACTACTCACTACATAACAATCATGTTATATAAGTGATCTGCAGCATTTTGTTTAGTAATTTAAAAAAGCATTTTGTGATATGAACGAGGAGGACAAGCGCCCAGGGGATCGAAACCGGTAGAAAACCGAACGAAACTACAGTTTTTAATGGTTTTTCTATTCTAGTAAGTGACATACGATACAATTACAGCTAAAATAGAACTGGAATTGTATCGTATGTCACTTGTAGAATAGGAAAACCATAAAAAACTGTAGTTTCGTTCGGTTTTCTATCCGTTTTCGATTCAATGTAAACAAAATTTATTTAGTAGAATTGGCCCCAGTAATAATTATAAGATATCGAATTTCAAGACTTAAATAATAAATATAAACAGAGAAATTATTAATGATCAAATATTAATAAAAATACGTAGATATCAAAAATGAAAACATAAATATTATATTCAATAAATTTTGCATTCTATATTGAAAATTATTTTAAATTTTAATATCGAAAAATTATAAGAATTTAAGCGTGGTTCTTTTTATGAAAAAAAAAATACCACGCTTTTAAAGGCTAATGAAATTAGTATTACTCATTTGTAGCTATACGGGTACAAAGGCAGTTGAGTGTAGACTAAAAAAAGTTCAACAAGTTGTTATTGTTATACAGATAAATTGAAACTTTTCACAAAAGCTATTTCTTTAACTCTGTTTTGATACAATATTAAGCTAGTCAATTTACAACTTTTGACGACGATGTCCCCTCCTTGGTTGTGTTACGCGGCAACTTCAGTCCGCATTTGAACCTCATGCGTGAGAGTCGCGTCACTGTCCAGTGCGCTATCAATCAATTTAAAAAGAAAAAGAAATAACCGTCGATTTAACAAACATTAGTGAAAGTAACAAACTTGTGTTACCCAGTGCTCGTTTTAAATGTGAAAAAACAAAGTGAACTGTGAAATGAATGAAGACAATTAAGCAGCCACCCTAAATGGTGTAAACAAAACATAATTTCGTAACACTAAATCATGGAGGACGTATACACTATTAGAATAAAGACAAAACCGGATACAAGGAACTTGTATCCATCTGAGAGGAGATATTCAGCGTCAACTGTATCAGGACTAGCATGGGTTCATATAGCATTAGCGGCGACCTCATTCTTGTTAGCGTGTTTAGCTTTAGTGAACCCGACATTAGACGTCACCGAAAGCGCTAACTCAACACAGACTTTCGACAACATTACGACGAACGAAAACGACACTGAAACTTCAAATGCACCCACCAGTGGTTATATTTTGGTTCTAGCACCATCTTTAATAACAGTATTCGGGTTAGCATCTGGTATAACATCCATTTTGGCGTCGGTCAGATGGTACATTGACCGTAATATAACATGGTTATTCGTTGTGTCTTGCTTATCAACTGTTGTATCTTTTACGTCGCTTCTTATGGTAGCAGTATGGTTTATAAACACCACAGAGGGTGATATTACAGAATTTTACAAAGACAAAGTTCCTTTTAAGGACATTCTTGTTATAAAACACACAGATGTAATAGATAAAAACGAATCTCATTTGATAGTTGCATTAAATCAAACTGGGGATGAAGAAGAACCTTCTTATTTGTTCACTAAAAGGGTATTATCTATAAATATACTAATAGCAGCATTCTTAGAGTTATTGTGGTCTATATTAAGTGTAAAGATATCATATAAAGGCATGAGAAACAATTATAAAGACGATGGAGGTGAGCGTCGAGGTAATTGTATATCGGTAGTTACAACAATCAAAGGTAATGACCCAAAGAATTTGCCTCGAAACGGCAAACTACCTAAACCGGATTTAATCGAACATTATCCGAGCAAAAAGATCAAAAGAGTATTTTTAGCGCAAAACGAGAATTTCTATTTAAATAAAAATCAAAATGGCAAAGCTAAGAATACGGAGACCAGTTCTGAATTCTATAAAGAAAGGATGATTAACTTTTTGAATAAATGCGCGTCTATGGAAGAGGTTTCTAATCCGGAGAGGACTCCGAGTGTACAATCTGAAGCTGTTTTAAATACTATACCTGAAGTTACTAATGTGGAAGTAAATGTAGAAAGAACACCGGGTAAAGACAGAGTGACGCCTGTCAGTTGGGGCGATTCTCCTGATCACACTGTTTACAATCAGAACAATATTAATTTCGATAAAATCTTTAATTTCACAAGAAAAACTGATAAAGAAAGCGAAAAGTGCGATGGAGCGAGTGAAAATGTACAGAATAATTAAATAACCGTGAATTTATTGGATCGTTTAATGAATCGAAAGTTGTATATTATAACGACCTTTAGGTAACGGTGTTAGGGTCGTGTTATGCACTTCGATTGGGTGATTACAACCTTTTTGCTGTAAAAAAATATAGATTACTTAACAAGACTGTTGTTGATAGTTACTTATTGTTTTTATACGCTTTTTTATAATTGAAATGATTCTCATTTAAAATTTTGCGTCAGGTTTTTCTTAATTTAAATTAGTCTGACTTTTTGTAAAATTGTGATTTCGAAAAATATTAATTCATTTAATTTCATGGATTTCGCGAAGGAAGTTATTGTTACTTAGAGTAAGTAGGTATGCACTTTCTGTATATGTTTTGCATTTGTAATCTAATATAGGTACTACTTACATACATATACAATGAAAAGAATAATTTAATGTTTGTGATCAAAAATATAGATTATTCATGAATTTTGCGAACGAAAATTATTCTTAGAGTATGCCTTTATTATACGATAAATGATTTTATATGAAATAATTGCATATGGAATCGAATAAACTATTTACGAAAAATTAAACGAGAAATTTTCATTACAACATTATCTATAAATAAATGTTGCTTAAAACTTATAATTTTTAAGCAACATTTATAAGTTATCTAAATAAGTGTGACATAAACGAAAAAGTGACGGAAAAATTGGGGTGTAGATTTTCCTACTGAATAAAAATGATCAATAATTTTTAATAAAAAACCAGCAAGTGCGAGTCGGACTCGCAAACCGAGGGTTACGTGCAAACCTGTAGGTATTCATTAAAAATATTTTTATTACGTATATGTGATAAAACTAACAGTTTACGGTTTTGCAATTTTTCCTTTATCTGCGCTATAAGACGGCTCTTCTTACTAAATTTCAATATTCAATGTTCACGGGAAGTACCCTGTAGGTTTTGTTTCCTTTGAGAGTTTCGAAAATTTGTAGCATAAATGGCTGTATCTTTTGAAAAAGATCTTGACAGACAGACGGACGGACGGATCCTATAATGGTTCCATTTTTTCCTTTCAAGAAACGGAACCCTAAAAAAAGTGCATAAGATGGGTGACCAAAAATTTATTGTCTTTAGTTCTTCAATGCTTCGGAATTATATATCTACATATACAAGTCGTATTACATATACAAACTCCATACGTGGCCATACTAATTTAGCTCGGATCTATATATTATCTTATTTATTGGAAAATAAATTTGTGCTTAAAATTTCTGAATCTTTGTTACTTCTGACGTAATAATTATTATGTTACAAATTTTCTTCATAAACATTATCGTAAATAGAAGAAATTCACAGTTAACTTATAGCAATTTTCGAATCTTTTTGTTTAATTATAACATTTGTTCGTTATTTAATTAATCATATTTTAAAATTTCAAGGCGTATTGTTCGTTCTATTTTTTTTTATACATATGTTTAGATCAATATGCAATGTCGTCCGACAAACACACAATAAATATTTTTATAATAAAATAGGTGAGCTGTTATATTTATCGTTTCTAATGGTGGATCAAAATTAATCATTTTCCTACTCAAATAAGGGACATTACAGAATATGTGAAACAATTTTACTACTAAATATTAATTCATAGTCAAAACTTAAAAACATTCAAATATTAACCTAATAGGCTCCCTAATAGGACCGTCAGTGCGTTTTATCTGTCCGTCTGCCACCAGACTATAGCTCATGTACTAAAAAACAGAACAAAATAAATATTTAAGGGGCCCCAATACGACAAACGCGATTCTTACTTCGGAACCGTGTTCATGCGTAGTCCAACATGTCCGTGACCGGTTGGTTGACGTTTTAAAAAAATATATCAACCAACATCGAATTTATTAATTTTGTTTATAACATGAGAACCGATATTAACGACAACTTTTTCGTCGTAAGGGGAATACTTTATGCACTGTCCCTGCCGCTTGATAGATGATAGAGGATGTGTTGCACTCTCCATCCACACGGACCCGTCCGAACGCTAGTCAAAACATGGATTGTATACCCCACTGAACCCCCTCTGATGCACCCTCACTTTTGGAGGAAGGACGTCGGGTCCAGCACGAACTGCACGAACCCAGCCCCCGACGATATATGCGAACGACTTCCACCAAATGCTGACTGAATAAAGTTCTCCTCCACCTATACTATAATATTATGAAGCTGAAGAGTTTGTTTGTTTGAACGCGCTAATCTCAGGAACTACTGATTCGAATTGAAAATTTCTAAAATATAACACTACGCTGCATCTATTAGGAGCGAAGAAATAATGAAAAACGCGGACGAAGTCGCTGGCGGCCACTAGTAAAAAATAAAAATACCTATTAGGTAATCGTTTAGTGTAAACGGTTTTTAATGAGTAAAATAAATATACCATAAGTAGTGTACCTAATGTATTTACTAAACATTATGAATTGAAATATTATCAGCTTTCCATTAATTAGCCATTGACTACAATGTTAGCTTATTTTCATGTTAATAATAATAATATTTTTCTAAACTTAGTCTAATACACTAGGCTAGTTTGTAGTTTCCTTTTGAACAACAATGTTTGTGTTTGTATTAGGAAGAACCGCTTTTCCGTCTTTTGTCAAGTCGAGAAGTAATTTGTAGTTACTTAGATAGATAAGTTGCTCGGTCCAGAAGCTAAAAAAGTGCCATTGCGAATTTTATGAAAATCAATTAAAAAAAAGCGAAGCTGCTACGCACTATGTCAAAAGTTATTCTGCACTATTCAATAAGTCAAAATCAAGAACGCAAGAATTGAACATTTTTAGCGTACACAAAAATCCATTGGCCCCGGCTACTCGATTCCATCCTAGAGATAGCTTGTGCCCCAACAGCGAGAACTTAGTAAGCTAATTGATAAATTTAAATTAGTGCGAGGCTATTCTTTTCCCCCCCCACCTATTTAAAATAAAGTCTTAAAATAGGGGTTCGTAATTATAAAGATAATTGTTTTTTTTATAACAATCATGATAATTATCCGATCAATGTCTGATAATTATCAGTAGTTCCTGGCGACAATTTTTAAAATACAGAAAGGCATCCATAATAGTTTAAACTTTTATTTTTGTTCCTTTAAATTATAAAAATTATACAAACAAAATGATCTTATAAAAATAACTAAAATCACATTGAACAAAAGTGATATGAAAATATAACTCAAATAAATTAAATATAGTTTAATAAAACGGACATTTCAATATTTTGTTTTGTTGTTGTAGGTAAACTATTTTTTCAATCAGAAAAACCCCTTTTGTGATAAGTAGTTGTTCAAAAACTACAATAACAAGTCCTAAAGTACAAAAAAGGTTTGTGTAGTTTATTATAATTATCAAGGTAGGTATATTTATCAAGTTAATGTCGGTATAATTATCAATCCGAACCCTGCTTAAAATTGTTTTTTTTAAAGGCAGTTTAATTTATTGAATAAAATAGAGCAATTTTAAGTCTCGAAATTTTTGGCAGCACATAGGGTGTGAACTTATTAATTTTTAATCATTGATAATGAAATATATAATTATTGATAATGAAATATGTGGCTAGATCGTTTATCAATTTATCCAATATAATACGAGTATAAAAAAAAAACATAACAGCCTCAAAGTTGACGTCGAGCAGTCAGAGTTATAGCATAGAGGTTCAGTCAAATGAAATCTACTTCAAATGGTAAAATCCATTCAATTTTTTATCAGTTGAAGCGATATGAACGTTACAAATTTTATAGAGCCTTATATCGTCATTAATACTTCAACTTGTAAAAAATTTTTGTGACAGGCAGTTTTTTAAAGTACTGCATTTTTAAGTTAACTGGTAGAGCAAATGTAAACTGATTGTCATGCCGCCTCCTAAATACGAGCGCCCTATAGTTTTTCAAACTCTGTCTTTAAAATGTTAAGGCTTAAAATAAAAATAAGGTGCCAATGTGTGTTACTAAACTACACCTTTTGGTTTAAAATTCCCGTTTGGAAATTCATTTAATTGTGGATAATATGTATGATAGAATTAATGCATTTCTATTATCCAAAAAACCGGTTTCCCGCAACCCCGGCCCACAATTTTCGCGTAATCGACGATCTTCTGGTTTTATTTATTTATGACTAAAATGGCACCAAGGACACTATGCATAGGCCTTGCAAATCATTATTAATCAATTACTATTTATGATTTGCAAGGCCTGATTACGAACAAAAAAAAACTAAAAACAGGATAAAATTAATATTTAAGGGTGCTCCTATGCACCAAATGTCACATTTTTTACGTTTTCATAGATAAATGGTCCGACTCGCACTTCACTGTTTTTTTCTCTCTTCTCGTTATTATACTGTATTTTCTATGGAAACAAATTATAAATACTTGTAGCCGAGGAATTTATTGCACACTTTTCAATAATTGTAGGAAGTTTAAAAACCGTGTACTTGCGCTCGGCAATGTTTTGGAGAAGGGCAGTCTTTTGGTTTTACGTCTCTTTTAAGATAATGTTTATAAAATCATCATTGTGCAAGTTTTATCTGTATTCTATTGATGTATGCTTTTTTTATATTTATGACGTCAGAGGAAAGGTCGCAGGTCAATGCGTTTGCCATCACGTAAGATTTAATACAAACTTCATTGGATTAACATGATGAATTTTATTGTTTTTGAATAAATATTGCTTTCAGAATGTTAAATAATAATATTGATCTTATAGAATAATAATTGAGAAATTTACTATTTAGTTAAGTTTTATAATTTAGGTACTTCACAATATAGGTTTTATTCGATTAAACTTCTATACTCCATTCATTATAACATTAGACAGATGTTAAATAAGGTACTTTTTATGGTATACTTAGTGACAAAATATCAATAATCATCTTACTCTTAAGACTGACGGTTAATTTGCTACATATTCACTTAAATACCAACAGCTGCTATACTTAACTGTTGTCATTTAAACTATCTATTAAACAAATTTATGAGTATTTGATTAACTTAAATGATTTAATAACTATTACTATAAAAAGAGTTCAACTTAAAGAACCTAAAGAAGCAGGGTTGGATAATTTCGGCACGATTCTCATGTCACTATAACTCTACTAAATTTAAAACGTTGCCTATCCCTTCAAACGTTTCTGCTGTACAGCTTTTTAATTTTATCAGACTATGATGTATTCATAATTGTCAAAATACGTAAACTGGGATTGTCATCCATTGTGATTGCTACTGCCTTTCTGGTTGTTTTGCTGTTTACCGTGATTAAGTTATTATTGTTTTATTTTTGTTTTGTTGGTTTTGTTTTTGTTGTTAAGTTTCGTTAAATATGGACG